CAGTACAACATCATACATATGGATGGCATTGTAAGGGGCAGCTCCCAATCCACAACTCGTGGTGTCCAACAGTCGAATACGTTTGGAGTATACTGCACTGTAGACACACACACACGCATATATATATACATTTCGAAACAGCGCAAATATGACATCCGATTATTCCATCGCAAAACCAACATCGCAGAATGATCGAATTACGGCTCCACGGGCTTGACCCTTGACCCACGACGCTCGGTGGGTCCGAAGTCAGTCGGCGGCGTTGGAAGAAGAGGCCCCCCGAAGACGAAAAACGTTCAACCACTTTTATTCTGGTGGTGGTTTCGGTTTTTTTTTGGCCGCGAGTGTGACGCTAAAGCCGACACAAAGCTGCCGGTGCCTCCAGTGTCAACGACGCTGCAATCAGCGGTCGAAGGATGGGCCCCCACCCCCCCCCCCCCCCCCCCATAATGTAAAGCTACGGCAGTGCCACAGTTACTACATATTATACAGCTAATTCTCTTTGGTTCTTTCGGTAAAGTCACGTAGTTTAGAAATCAAATAAATCAGGCGACCGCTTGTGTTGCGATCGAAACGTCGTGCTTTGTTTTATTTAATTTTATTTTCTACCTACGTGACTTTACCGAAAGAACCAAAGAGTTGTGGATCCCTGCAGTCACGAAAGCTTGAAATCTAAATTGATACTGCTAATTGTTAATAATATAGTTTTGGTAGGCTGTGTGTAACGCTGAGTTGGCGACGTGGATTTTTTAATATTTTTTTTTTATGATATACAGATGCATTTTTTTTGCTGAAATAAACTCCATACAATATTTACATTTTTTTATTTTTAGTTACATTTATTATTTTAGTATCGCGTCATATGACGGGAAATTATAATAGTTAACGATAATAATCATCATCTATGCCTCGAGTTTCCTGGCTGGCTGCTGGCTGGGATCCTGTTGACTACCGCCACCACCACAACAACGATAACTCTGTGTAACACGTAGATGGTCGTTCGCGACCAATATCATCATCCATAATACAGGGGGGGAGAGTTGGGTTAAATCGCGTAAATATATGAATGTGTCGTTAAAACCGCCACCACCACCCGACACAGCCGATTAGTAAGGTTTGCCACGTAAACAAACACGCCAATTCGTTACTAGTACAGCACACAACCGGTGTTACTGCGCTAGTAACGAATTAGCCACGTTCTGTTCACGTGACAACCCTTTACCAATAGACTCTGTCGAATGGCGGCGGGTTTAACGACACATTCATATTTTACGCGATCTAACCCTCCCCAAAAAATTGTATTGTAGGTAATATTGGTCGCGACGGCCTACATGTTAAACAAGCAACGCCTTCTCTAAATAATGACATGATTAAGGTGCTAACTCGGCAAGCGGGTAACTGCAGGGTAAAGGCGTATTGCCTCTTGTTATACGAACTGCATCGACCGCGTTTGTCTTCACATACAAAGAAAAAAGGTAAATGTGTTTTTAAATTCCATCGACCTATTGAGTCTTCATGACCAATATTATTGACTTTTCATGACCAATTTATTGAACAGAGATGAACGAACTGTAGACGTTGAGACGATTAAACGGAGTTCTGCGTGTACTGCATATACTGTACTGTATGTGCAACATCCCAGCAATATCTTATCGTTTTGCTTTTCACATGCGTTCTTTTACTTAGTGACACTCTGCGGTTCGTTAGGGGGGTTTGTATGGTTACTTAAATCTGGCGAATTGCCCGATGATGCTGGATGCAATTACCAGCGAAACGTCGTACTACTCAAAAATTGTAAATGTTGTGGTTTCACGCTTCAAAACACCGGTGGGCTAAAGCAGTGAACTATTTGTCTTTTGTCAACGTGACACTTTTTTACTGATTGGCCGTGTCTGGCGGTGGAGGGTTACGACACATTTATAAATAACGCGATCTAAACCCAAAAACGTTGATTATGAATAATATTGGTCGCGAAAGCCTGCTACGTGTTAAACTAAATAGCTACCGTTGGCATAGCCACTACTACTGCATTCATCACATGGCCAATTTATTCACGAAAACCTGATCATCAGAAACAAGAATGTGTTCCCATGTGATTGTGGAGTGTCCAACTCCAATTGTTCCACGACGTCCTTCGAGTGGCCTCTCTATTTACGCGCTATGAAGAAGGGCCATCGCTTGAAACGTCGCCGATTTACTTTCCCTTTGAAGGCCACGCACAGTGATGCTGCTGCTGCTGTTGTTGTTATTGACGAGTGCGTGGACTGACTTTGTCGATGTCAATTGCTCTTGTGTGCCCACTGCCAAAGCATCAGCAGCAGCATCATCAGCAGCAGCATCGCGGCAATGATCTGCTTAGTTGTTCTGTTTGCACGTAAATGTTGCCCCACAATAGCGTGTTCGTAATGAGGCTGTTGTACACCACTTCGTGTTCGGTTGAGTGAAGGGAATGGGTGAGACGGGCGAATGGATGGCGAGTTTCAGGAGCGCGTGTGCGTGTGCGCGCGCCATAGTTTCATTAAGTTGTCAGAATACACTGTGAGACCTCCTTTACCAGTAGCAAAATATAGTAATAGGTTTTTACCCTTTTATCTGGTACAAAAACTGACACCTTTATACTACTGATGTCAAAATAGTTGCGTCGACCAGCGCGCGCGCGCGCGCGTGTGTGTGTGTATCTCTTTCTTCGTGAGTACTCGGTGCGGTGTAGTAAGCATCGCCACTAGGGAGACAAAGGCGGCCGCGTCTGTGCATCTCTGTCTTTGCGTGTACCTGGTGCTGTGTATTAAACATCGTCACTAGGGAGACAAAGGCGGCCGGGCGTGGTGCGGCCTTCATTGGTGCTACTCGCTTACAATACTTGCCCCAACAGTCTGTTCAGGCTATACGGGGGAGCTTTGTCTTTGTCTTGGGGAGCGCTAGCCCAGCGGTTAACGCACTGCGCTCCGAACCCGGCGACCCGAGTTCGATTCCCGCTCACAGCCACCAACACCAGTGACGATTATCTGAACCGACCCAGGGCCTCTCCCCTAGGTTGACTCAGCCTCAAATGAGTACGGTGTGAGGGAGACAAAGGTGGTCGGGCGTGGTGATGGTCAAACCCCCTCCCCCCCACCCCCGCCGCCGCCTCGTGTGCCGTGCCGGCCTTCATAGGTGCTACTCGCTAACAGCACTTGGCCCAACAGTCTGTGAAGGACTATACGGGGGACCTTTGTCTTTGCGACCCCCAACGTCCTCCTCTTAGCCCCGCCTCTCTAATTATGTGGCCCCGCCCTTCCTTGATTGATCAGCCCCCCCCCCCCTCGATCCCCATAGCCCCGGTGGAGCTGACGCCGATTATTGAATCGTGTTACACAGAGAAGATGACCCTCCACCTACACACTGGCAAATGACAACAACAACAACAAAGACATTGCTCCGACACATTCGTTAACAACGCGGTGGCTAGGAGATGTTAACTCCCTCGCCTGGTATGCAGGATGTTCGTGGGTTCGATCCGACCCTGACACCTGCTCTATATTTGGAGTTTACGTGTGTCTCTCTTATCATCATCACGGTGGCTAGGAGATGTTAACTCCCTCGCCTGGTATGCAGGAGGTTCGTGGGTTCGATCCCGACCCTGACACCTGCTCTTATTTGGAGTTTTCGCGTGTCTCTCTTATCATCACGGTGGCTAGGAGATGTTAACTACCTCGCCTGGTATGCAGGAGGTTCGTGGGTTCAATCCCGACCCTGACGCCTGCTGTATATTTGGAGTTTGCGTGGTTTTTCCTCCCGAGTCCTCCGATTTTTCAACTCAACATTGATAAAAAAAATGCATTTTAAGAGTATTTATCTGCTATATGATCATTTCAACATGATAAGCCACTTCCTTGAGCTATCATCTGTGGCCAGGTCGCTTCTGAAAACGGGCTACATAGCTCAGTGGGCCTTACCTGGTCAAATAATAATAGTGTATGTAATAACGCTGTCGCCTTAAAACGACAAATACATGACTACATAGGTGACGTGGGTTTTATTCACAGCGCGTACAATGTGCGAGGGATAAGGGTCCTTGCCCGAAACGTCGCTTTTTTTTCAGTAAGACCACGCAGACCTATTATATTCTTGCGTGTCAGAATCCGAATATGTATTCACACTGGAGGAATCTGATGAGCTATTAAGCTCTTTTCACAGATGTCCAGTAGACAGCAGCAGGAGTCTGCTGCTGCTGCTGCTGTTCGCCACGACGAGAGGGATTCAGCAGAGAGACAGAGACAGAGAGAGACAGAGAGAGACAGAGAGAGACAGAGAGAGACAGACAGAGACAGAGAGAGACAGAGAGTGACAGAGAGTGACAGAGAGTGACAGAGAGTGACAGAGAGTGACAGAGAGTGACAGAGAGTGACAGAGAGTGACAGAGAGTGACAGAGAGTGACAGAGAGTGACAGAGAGTGACAGAGAGTGACAGAGAGTGACAGAGAGTGACAGAGAGACTTTGCGTCGTTGTGCCGTTCCTCCTCCTCCGTTTTAGCAGCACAGACCACAGTGGCTGTTTTACTCTGCGATCCATACATTGTTGTTATTGACGAACTTTAAAAAAATTTCTTATTGTATTTTTGTAGAGCTAAGGCGCCCCCTATATAACAAAGCTTCGATGGCAAGGCTCGTGCATGGCGGGGGGGAGGTGGTGGGTCACAAAGGGCTATAGGGGAGGGATGGGACGGAGTGGGGGGGGGGAGATGAGAATGGGCGATGGAGAAACAGGTGACCCTTGAGAGAGGAACGAAGAGAGGACGACTCTGCACCACCGCCAACGCAGTCACGTTGCAGCAGCAAGCCATCGACAGCACGACTGTCCCTGCACAAACGCGACCATCCACACATCTTGACGACTCTCCTGGACGTTACACAAAACAAGCTGAACCTTGGAACTCTCTCTCTGCACCCCCCCCCCCCTTCCTCCATTCGCTGCCCCCCACCCCCTCCTTTGACCCCCCCCACCCCACCCCTTACCACAGGAGGTTCGGAACGAAATGCGCCGGCTGTCTGCAGGGCATCTCGCCGAGCGACCTGGTGCGGCGAGCCCGCGGCTCCGTCTTCCACCTCAACTGCTTCACGTGCCTAGTATGTCGCAAGCAGCTGTCCACGGGCGAGGAGCTGTACGTGCTCGACGAGAGCAAGTTCGTGTGCAAGGAGGACTACCTGAGCAGTAGCGGACTCAAGGACACGGGCGCCAACTCGGGTGAGAGGCCGGTGGTTGTGGTGGTGGTGGTTGTGGTGGTGGTGGCAACGGTGGCACGAGCGGTTGACGCGCTGCGCTTCGAACCCGAGTTCGATTGCCGCCCACGGCCACCCAACGGCAGTGGCGATTGTCTGAAGCGGTGCTGGGCCTCCCCTAGATCGACTCGGCCTAAAACGGTGTGTGAGCATCGCCACTTTGGAGGCAAAGGCGAGGGTCGCGCGTGGTTGCTGGCCACGCTAACCCGGCCTTCATAGGCGCTCGCTAACAGCACTTTGCCCAAGAATCCGTGAAGGCTATGCGGGGGATCTTTGTCTTTGGTGGCGGGAGGGGATGGTGAGTGGAGGGAAGGAGAGGCGTGTTCGCATGTCGGTGGTTGGAGGTCGTGGCTGACATGTTGGTCATAACGAAGATCACTTTTGACAACGGTAGTCGTCGTTGTGGTGGTGCGTGGGTGGATGTTTGTGTGTGTCCGTGAGTTTGTCACGCGACGCTGTGTAGGTCATTGTGTGTACACGGGAGTGTTGGTGGTGGTAGCGGTGGTGGTGGTTTGTGGTGGTTTGTGGCGGTGGCTGCCAGCGAGCAGCACCTACGAAGGCCGTCACGGCACAGCAAAGGGGGTGGGTGGTCAGCGCCACGCCCGGCCGCCTTTGTCTCCCAAAAACGCTGATCTCTACACGCCGCACCACACACACGTACTCATTTACGACCGAGTCGACCTAGGGGAGAGGCGCGGAACCAGTTAACAAAAATGTCGCCACCGGGGGAGGGGGCGTTTGCGGCGGGCGGCGGCGGCGGGCGGGTCGGGGGTATCCGTCGCTCAGCGCGCGGCGCTAACCGCTGCGCCACCGCTCCCTTTTCTCCCCCCCCCGCCACCACGCAGTGACCACGTGCAGCGACCGTAGCATGTCGCCGGACCTGCAGGAGCAGGGCGCCGACGAGGCGAAGGAGGGCGACCAGTCGGCGTCGTCCGACAAGGAGGCGGGAGCGGGCGAGGCGGAGGAGCAGAGCCTGGGAGCCAAGCGGCGGGGGCCCCGCACCACCATCAAGGCCAAGCAGCTGGAGACCCTCAAGGCGGCGTTCGCGGCCACCCCGAAACCCACGCGGCACATCCGCGAGCAGCTGGCGCAGGAAACCGGCCTCAACATGCGCGTCATTCAGGTAGGCTGATGATGCTGATGCTTGCTGCTTCCTGCTGCTGCTAATGCTGCTGCTGCTGCTGCTAGAGATAGCGTCTCAACATGCGCGTCATTCAGGTAGGCTGATGCTGCCTGCTGCTGCTCCCTGCTGCTGCTGATGCTGCTGCTGCTGCTGCTACTGCTGCTGATGCTGCTAGAGATTGCGTCTCAACATGCGCGTCATTCAGGTAGCCTGCTGCTGATGTGGTACTAGCATGGCCGGGGCAGGTATGCAGGTGCTACTGCTGCTGCTGGTGCAGCTGTAGGAAGTACAGTACTGGCATGGGGGTAGGTGGCGAGTGACAGACTGCTCGAGGACTGGTACAGCACGAGAGGGAGGGAGTGCACACAGGTGTGTGTGTGTTGGGTCACACAGGTAATGGTACCTGGGCTACTGTGGGATCACACAGGTGTGTTGGGTCACACAGGTAATGGTTCGTGGGCTACTGTGGGGATCACACAGGTGTGTGTGCGTTGGGTCACACAGGTAATGGTTCCTGGGCTACTGTGGGATCACACAGGTGTGTGTGCGTTGGGTCACACAGGTAATGGTACCTGGGCTACTGTGGGGAGCACACAGGTGTGTGTGTGTTGGGTCACACAGGTAATGGTACCTGGGCTACTGTGGGGAGCACACAGGTGTGTGTGCGTTGGGTCACACAGGTAATGGTACCTGGGCTACTGTGGGGAGCACACAGGTGTGTGTGTTGGGTCACACAGGTAATGGTACCTGGGCTACTGTGGGGAGCACACAGGTGTGTGTGCGTTGGGTCACACAGGTAATGGTACCTGGGCTACTGTGGGGAGCACACAGGTGTGTGTGCGTTGGGTCACATAGGTAATGGTACCTGGGCTACTGTGGGGAGCACACAGGTGTGTGTGCGTTGGGTCACACAGGTAATGGTACCTGGGCTACTGTGGGGAGCACACAGGTGTGTGTGTGTGTTGGGTCACACAGGTAATGGTACCTGGGCTACTGTGGGATCACACAGGTATGTGTGCGTTGGGTCACACAGGTAATGGCACCTGGGCTACTGTGGGGATCACACAGGTGTGTGTGTGTGTTGGGTCACACGTGTACTATGGGAGGGGGGGCACTCAGCACAACCTTCTCTAACCGTGCCCCCTACAACACCTGGCAAGCCCCAGGGTGGTGGCGGGGCAGTCACAAGTCCAAGTTGTCACCAGGTGCACGCCTGCTTAGCTTGCGAGGTCCGGCGAGTTTGTTTGGTGTGAGAGTCGATTGGTTGCAGTATAATAGAGTAGAAACACTTCTTAACGGATAATAATCGCTTAACGACGGACCTCCATAGAGCCCAATGTGTCGTGTGTCGTGTATGGTATTGTCGTTTATAGTAGTGTATAGTGTAGTTTATATAGTAGTGTATAGTGTAGTGTATCGTGTAGTGTGTAGTGTATATAGTAGTGTATAGTAGTGTAGTGTATGGTATTGTCGTGTATAGTAGTGTATAGTGTAGTGTATATAGTGGTGTATAGTATTGTCGTGTGTAGTAGTGCATAGTGTAGTGTATATAGTAGTGTATAGTAGTGTAGTGCATAGTATTGTAGTGTATAGTGTAGTGTATATAGTAGTGTATAGTAGTGTAGTGTATAGTATTATAGTGTATAGTGTAGTGTATATAGTGGTGTATAGTAGTGTAGTGTATAGTATTATAGTGTATAGTGTAGTGTATATAGTGGTGTAGAGTAGAGCCCAATGTGTTCGTTTACCGAACATTCCCCTGTTAACGTTATAGGTATGAATTAATGCATTTATTAACCATGTTTATTTTAATAGTGTGTGTTTATCGTGTTGTTTGGTATCTGTACGTATTGATATCCATTGTTTAACATCATAAAGTGCGTTTTGGGGGTGAAAAGGGGCAACTTTCGATGCGATCGGAACGAATTTATTTGGTTCTTTCGGTAAAGTCACGTAGATAGAAAAATAAAAATAAATAAAATAAAAACTACGACGTTTCCTAGACTCGCTGAACGACCCAATCACTGAACCAATTGCGGTCGTTAAGAGGGTTTCTACTGTACTGTGTATACTTTATGTGTTTACACATTCACATACCTATCGTTACACATTATCACCTCTAGACATTCAAACATTCAGATAAATACCTGTGTATGCGCATGCATTTGCACGTGCAGCACTGTGCGCTTGAGCAAACATTCCAATTAACACACAGACACTTGTGTTGGCAGATTGTGATTGAAGCACACACGATCAGTCACCTTGCAAGAAAGGCAGTGTCCGATTGTTTGGCGTTCATTATCAGACTGTAGCTCGACACGCACACACGTGCAGACACAACAAAGATCAAAGATCCGCCCGTGTAGCCTTAACAGACTGTAGGAGCAAGTGCTATTAGCGAGCACCTATGAAGGGCGGTGGGTGGCCAATACCACGTCCGGCCGCCTTTGTCTCCCCAGTGGCGATGTTTACACACCACTGCGCACCAGGTACTCATTTGAGGCTGAGTCGACCTAGGGGAGACGCAGGACCGGTTCTGATAATAATCGTCACCGGTGTTGGCCGCGAGCGGGAATCGAACTCGGGGAGCCGAGTTCGTAGCGCAGCGTAGCGCTTAACCACTGCACTACCGCTCCCCAAAGACAAAGACCCCCATATAGCCTGGAACAGACTGTTGGGGCAAGTGCTGTTAGCGAGCACCTATGAAGGCCGGAACGGCACACGAAGGGGTGGGTGGCCAGCACCACGCCCGACCGCCTTGGTCTCCCTAGTGGTGATGTTTACACACCTCACCAGGTACTCATTTGAGGCTGAGTCGACCTAGAGGGAGGCCCGGGATCGGTTCACTGGTGTTGGCCGTGAGCGGGAATCGAACCCGTGTCGCCAGGTTCATAGCGCAGCGTGCGAACCGCTACACTACCGCTCCCCACACACACACGCGCGCGCAGACACACACACGTGATTAAGAATAATTGCCTCTCAAAATCTAATAGACTTCAAGCAATGACAATCACTTACTCGAATCGTCTGCGATCATTATGCCACTCGGAGTGCGGTCCCCGCCTCTCCCTTCATAACTCTTCAACTCAAGGGCGGGGGGGGGGGGGCTCCCTGCAATTTTACCCGCGACCTCAAAGACCGCTCTGGTAAACCGACTCGCGCGCGTGTTTACGCAGTTTTTGTTTTTATTCATTTTAAAAAACAAGCAAACACGCAAAAAGACAAAGGGCATTGGTGCCCCGTATAGCCTGAACAGACTGTAGGGGCAAGTGCTGTTAGCCAGCACCACGCCCGACCGCCTTTGTATCCCCAGTGGCGATGTTTACACACCACACCATGTACTCATTTGAGGCTGAGTCGACCTAGGGGAGGCCCAGGACCGGTTCAGATAATTCACTGTGTAATAAAAAAAAATGTTCCTGGGTAGTAAGTGTTATTTTCCGATTGCTTATGCCTCAAAAGTACAGAAGATAGCTATCATTACCCACACACTTTGCTTTTGTGAACAGGACAGTGATATTTTGAAATGTGCCTATTTTCAATGAGAAAACGTGTCATTCCTTCACGTAAAGTCCTGGTCACAAAAGCAAAGTTTGTGGGGAATAATAGCCATTTTCTATACTATCGAGGCATAAGCAATTGGAAAATAACACTTACTACCCAGGAACAAATATTTTTTGTTACACAGTGATATATATTCGTCACTGGTGTTGGCCGTGAGCGGGAATCCAACTTGGGTGTCCAGGTTCGTAGTGCAGCGCGCTAACTGCTACACCACCGCTCCCCACCCCCCAATCACTCAACTCATTCGTCAAGAACACTGCTGTGTGGCATTAGATTTTTTTGAAAGAATGTCTATTTATAATAGGTGACGTTTCAGGCAATGGCCCTTCTTACAACATTATTGTTTTTGTGCCACGCCGTTTTACGTGCAATGGAAGGCCCATTACCCGAAACGTCGGGCTATTCCATATTTGATATAAAAACGAGTGTTTGCTGTTGTTAACTGCTCTTGTGCACCACTGCCAACGCAGCAGCAGCGGCAACATGAAAATGTTTGTTTTGTAATTCAATCTCCGCTTATGTATTAATTCAAATCAAGCAGGTGGGAAGACAACGGTCTAGCATGCGCGAAAACATTTAATAGAAAAAAAAAAGTAATACGATAACGAGGAATGCAATGCACCAAGTTTAGTCCGCGAATCGTGACGCCGTCCAGACAACGGTGCCTCTCAATCGATGTGGGGGGGGGGGGGGGGAGTCGATGGCTGGCGCGGATCTTGCTTTTGAAAGCAAAATGCTTGTCCTGGCTTCGCCTGCCGCGAGCGTCATCATCACGGCGTGGCCTCGTTCCTCCGCTCACTGACACGCGTCGAGTTCGTGTCTCCCCGTCGGTTGCGACTGTGTCACTTGCTCGGGCGTGTTTCACTGAGCTCACTTAAAGTCACTGCCCACCTACGCTTGTTTTATTTTCAGCCAGGAAATTGCTCCCCCCCACCCCACCCCCACCAGCATCCCTGCTCCCCCCCCCCCCCTTGTTTGGGGTGCAGGGGGGGGGAGGGCGTTGATGGCAAAGGAGTTCTCTTCTCCAAGCAGTCACAAACACCGTACCGACCGCGCACGTGGCCCTGTGTAGGTTTGGTTCCAGAACCGGCGCTCCAAGGAGCGGCGGATGAAGCAGCTGAGCGCCCTCGGGGCTCGCCGCCACGCGTTCTTCAGGAACCCGAGGCGCATGCGTACCCTGGGCGGTCGCCTCGACGAGGCGGAGATGATGGCGAGCGGACCCTTTAACTACTACGGCGGTACGTTGGGGGGGGGGACACGGGGGACACGGGGGAGGGGAGCGGGCATGGAGACACAGAGGGGGCACGCGGGTTTGGGCGGCGTTGAGACAGTCAGGATACTGGGAAATGGTAACACGGGGACATGTGGTCATGGGGATGGGGGGAAGAATGGAACAAGAGGATATGGAGACGCAGGGAATATGGAAGCAGATGGGGAAGGGGGCATCGGGACAGGGGGGGGGGGCTAGGGGGGTAGAGTGGGGGGGGGCATGGGAGAATTGGCGGCACCCGAGGACATGGGGGGGGGGGTGCATGTGGATATGGAGAAATGGGGACGTTGGGTCATGGGGGTACAGGGTGTTTGGATCGATGTTGGAATATGATGGGAAGACGCAGGGATTTGGATGTGTGTTGACACAAAGGCGCAGAGACACGGGGTGCATGGCGCATGAGTGGGCAGAGGGGAGAAGGGGGCCGTGGAGACACGCGTGTTTAGAGACACGCGTGTTTAGAGACACGGGCGACACGTGGCTCAAACGCGGAGGTGATGGGGCGATGGGTTTGGTGTGCGGTTGGTTGGCGCGCCGTGAGAGCGAGTGCGGTTAGCGAGCACCTATTAAGGTGTGATCGAAACCACACCCGGCCGCCTTTGTCTCTCCGCGGCAGAGCCGAGATGTGTGTTACACGACGGACACGGCCACTCATTTAAAACAGCGAGTGGACCTCGGGAAGGCCCAACACGGGAGCAGGTAACGGGGTTTGAGTTATTAACTCGATCCGCCGTGTTTCGTAGCGGAGTGCGCTAACCACTGCGCCACCCACCCCTCCCCCCACACACACACACCCCCGTCCCCACTTCCCCCAACACACGCGCGCGCTCAAACCTCAAATCCACCCACTCACTCAACCAAACCTCTCCCCCCTCCCTGCCTGAACACATCCCCCCACCACCCACAACCCTCCTCCACCCCCCCATACACAAACCCGCTCGTATGAATGGGCGCGCTGTGTTGTGTTGCCCGCAGTCTGTGTGTCGGGAGGGGGTTGGAGTGGAGGGTTAGAAGGGGGTAGAAGTGGGGGGGGGGGGGGGGGGGGTAGCAGAGGGGGGTAAGAAGGGGGGAGGGGGGGGGGGTGTAGCCGGGCCCTCGGTGGCCGTGATAATATCCGGACAAAGCCGCATCTGCGGTCCCTTTTTGTCGCACATTCGGCGTCGGATTTGTTCCAATTATGCGCGACACTTCAAACGCAGTGGAGGTCAGTGTTCCCCCCCCCCCCCCTCCCCCTCTAAGCTCCCCCTTCCACCCCCCCCCCCCCCCACACACACACATTGCCCCCTCCTCCCCTCCCTCCTTCCCCCACCTCTCCACCCCCACCCTCACTCACCCTACACCCACCCTTCCCAAATCCCAACTCTCTCCTTCTCCCAAACCCTCTCCCTCCCATCGCTCCCCCCGCCCCCCCCCCCCCCTCCTCGCGTGGGCTCTCTCTCTCTCCTCGCGTACAATAATTATATAATGAACAGCGCTTTGTCGATCTACTGCTGGATGAAGACGTCCCCGTACCTGGCCTCGTGTTGAGCCTCGGGGGTTGTTTTGACCATACTTCACCAGGCTGGGCAGTGCGGGTTGGTGACCAGCAGCAGGTCGCCACTGATGGTCGCCGTGGGCCGGGGAATCGAAGTCGCTTTTACCAAATGTGCTGACCACTGCGCCACCACTCGTTTCCCAGTCGCCTCGTGGAATTCACGGTCAGACCTCCCGAGCGTAGCAAGACCCTCCCGAAAACGAGTAGCGAGACTCGGTGAGGCTTTGCAGGGATGTCGATGCCTCGCGGGCCGATGTCAGACGCGCGTCTGATTTTTCTTATTTCGTGTGAACCCTAAATACAGACGGGAATAACAATATGATAAACAATATTTCTGATGAAACACCACGAGGCTTTGAAGTTACGTCGAAACTTGTCAAAATGGCGCTATTGTGACGTCATCGGGAACGTGGTTGAAGGGCGGGGCATCGTAAATGTCACACTGTGCGTGGCCTTCAAATACAAATGAATATATATAATCGGCGACGTTTCAGGCAATGGCCCTTCTTAGCACAGAAACAAATGTTTTATTTTCTTGGTTCTTTCGGTAAAGTCACGTAGAAGGGAAATAATAAAATAATAAAAATTTTACATAATAAAATACAATTCTCACGACGTTTCGGCCACAACGAAAGCAGCCGTCCTCAGGTGAAGAACAGGTCTGTCGGAAAGTCTGAAGACGCTGTCTTTCCGACAGACCTGTTCTTCACCTGAAGACGGCTCCTTGCGTTGTGGCCGAAACGTCGCGAAAATTGTATTTTATTATGTTTTATTTTTATTATTTTATTATTTCCCTTCTACGTGACTTTACCGAAAGAACCAAGAAGATGAATCCCTGCAGTCACAAAAGCTTTACATCGAAAATTAAATGTTTTATTTGTTTACTTTTAAGGCCACGGTGTTGTTATTGACGAGTGTTTTGAGTTGTTGGTGTTGCTGTTAATTGTGTCAACGCAGCAACCAACGCAATTTGTTCAATCACGTATCGATGTAGGAGCATAGGAGTTGAGTACAACAATTAGATTGCCTTTGCACCGCCTGCAGCCCCCGCAGCCTCTAACACCTGTTATGCACGGCGCTCGCCTCGTCCTTGTGCGACGCAGGCCAAGACCTGCTTGGCTTGTTTGCTTTCGCATCTTCCACCCTGCAATGCCGCTGTGACTTGGGCTGTGATCTATGGGTCTCTATGTGACTCTATATAGCTATGAACCTTTATGAGTCTCTTTCTAACTCTATAGATCTCCAAGCAGGTCTATGGGTCTCTGTCTAACTCTATAAAGCTCCAACAGACAATGATGGGTCTCTGTCTAACTCTGTAGATCTCCAAGCAGGTCTATGGGTCTCTGTCTAACTCTATAGAGCTCCAACAGACTTGATGGGTCTCTGTCTAGCTCTATAGATATCAAAGCAGGTCTATGGGTCTCTGTCTAACTCTATAGAGCTCCAACAGACTTGATGGGTCTCTGTCTATCTCTGTAGATCTCCAAGCAGGTCTATGGGTCTCTGTCTAACTCTGTAGATCTCCAAGCAGGTCTATGGGTCTCTGTCTAACTCTATAGAGCTCCAACAGACTTGATGGGTCTCTGTCTAACTCTGTAGATCTCCAAGCAGGTATATGGGTCTCTGTCTAACTCTGTAGATCTCCAAGCAGGTCTATGGGTCTCTGTCTAACTCTTTAGAGCTCCAACAGACTTGATGGGTCTCTGTCTATCTCTGTAGATCTCCAAGCAGGTATATGAGTCTCTGTCTAACTCTGTAGATCTCCAAGCAGGTCTATGAGTCTCTGTCTAACTCTATAGAGCTACAAGCGACTTGATGGGTCTTTAACTCGACAGATCTCTATGTAACTCTGTGCGTCTCGAGGTGACTCTATGGAACTCGATGAGTCGATATGTGACCACGATGTCCTGTCACTGCCGTCACTGCTGACGGCCCTGGACTTTGGTCTGTGGGTCTCGATGTATCTCCATGAATCTCTGCGTCACTATGATTAATTATCTGTGTAACTCTGTAGATCTCTATGCAGCTACATGTGTCTCTATGTAACTCTATGCCTCTGTATGTCAATGTATGGAAGGCCCATGACCGGTTCAGATGATTCGTCACCGATGTTGGCTGTGCTGAGCAGGAATCGAACTCGGGTCGCCGTGTTCGGAGCGCAGTGCGCTAACCGCTGCACCACAGTTCCCCACACTCGCATCACCACCACCAACAACACCATCATCACCACCACCACTGCTACCAAAGACA